AGGAGTCGTGCACCGCTACAACACCACCACCCCCGCCTGTCCGTCTCCCCCCTCCCGGCGGTCGCAAGTGTGACAGATGCGGTTCTGAAAAGATGCATTTTAAAATGTCTCCAAACTTCAATTGATGCATAATTTAAGTTGTTTTTTAGTTTGAGATCTTAATATTAATATTGTAGTGTTATACAACAGCGTTAAAAGACAGTTTAACTTAATCTAACCAATTTATGTCATTAAAATCTAATTCCATTTCAAGCAGAATAGCCTATTGTCAACATAATTATGGAGTGTCATTTATTTTCAACTTAAAAAATCTTCAAACTAATGAAATATAAAGTTATGGGAGGAAAACCCGTCTGGATAACAGCAGACTGACTGCTGGTAAAATATACGACAGGTCTGGACCACTTGTGAATTTTGTTCGTATCTGAAAAAAATCGTAGAATACGAAAACATTGGTGGATGCCACAAATTCTCCTAAATCACTCGTACGCACAACTTAAGAACAAATCTGTGTGTATGAACGGTTCTTGCATGAGGCTCAATGATCCCAAACGCATCAGAGCTGTTTCTGATTGGATGAACAATACGGCTAACATTAAATTTCTGCAGTGGTCTGCCAAAAGCCCCGATTCAAAATATGCGTACTTTGTTTCAAAGTTCATGCAGGAAACCAACCAGTGGACTCTTCCAGTTCAAATCAAAAAATCAGCCAGAGGCTTAAGCTAGGTGCAACATGCTAAGAGACATTTAACCAAATATTAGTGGGGTGGAGGTTGTGTAATCATTCCACCTTAATTAAAAGCCAAAAAAAGGAATGCCTTTTTATGTGCGTGGATGTAAATGTCTGACCATAACTGTAATGTTTGGGTCCAGTGTTGTGTGAATATATTTTTAAAAGCAAACATTTAAAGACCATTTATTTCACTCATTTGGATACAAAGTTTTTCAGAACAATTTATTTCAAATATTTTGTGAAGAACATGGAAAAATTAAACAAAAATTTGCAGGATGTTAGATAAAGGATAAAATGAACAGGATTCTAGTTACAGGTTAAAAATAGGAAATTGGTAGATAAATGCTCAAATTAGCAAAAGTGCAAATAAAATTCATCAGGTCAAAAACAGGCAGTTTGCTGAAGTAGGTTTGGTGGAACAATGTTTTAACGGCGCTGTAAAATTTCTAAATTAAGTTCAATGGTGAAAACGTAAATAAAGGTAAAATAAAGTTTAAAGTTCCAAATACAAAAAGTCAAAGCATACTTTTCCTGATCAAGCTTCATGTTTTAACGTGTATGTGATTAAATAGCACAAACTAAATGAAGTGTGACCTAAAAAAATGTACAGAAGAAATTATAAGCAGGAAAACAATCATTGTACCACAGGGGTCCTTGCTTTCCCTGAGATGTTTGAGTACTGATAAAAGAAACAAGTTTACACAGCTAATAAGGTTTTCTAAATGCATTCAAAAGGAAAAACTACCTTTTGGTCTTTGTTTTCCAGGCGTGACCTCAGAACAGACCAGCACCAACATGACTGAGGACCTGGACGATCTGGAGTAGTGCGCTGAAGTCCACAGGAAAAATAAACCGTGGGAGTTTCCTCCCACCATTCCCCTTTGGGTTCACTTACATTTACTGTACATCCACTGACTGTTAGGTTTTTGTACTCATGTTTATGCAAATATGCTGTCCTCCTTATTTATTTGCTTCACTTTGTTTCCAGGAAAAAAAAAACGTGAAGATGGTGGTTTGTGTGTAGATTTGTCAGTGTTGGTTGTGTTTTTCTTTCAGTATTCCTCGATTTGAAAGACAAAGTCATACAGGGCTGGAAACTAACAGCTGCTGCTTTGTTTACAGTTTTCCTTTCTTTGTTTGTGCTGCTGTTAGTTTCCCTCCCTGGTTGTATGAAGATCGAGTTGGTGAAGTCGTAATGTTTGTGCGAATAAGTAGTGGTTTCTAGTGATGTGAAATACAGTTTGTTTTGACAAAGGAAACCTGACGTTAGAAGGGATGTGAAAGGTATTTGTGTTTTTGTTGGTGGATTAGATGATTTGGATGGTCAGAGCTACTGTGGTGAAAAGTAGCTGAAATATTATTTTTTTTAACATGCAAAAGGTTACACTATTAACTCTCACTGCTGAGCTGCATTTATAGTTTACCTGCCAAATTAAAAGCTAAACAAACGTAACAAATCACACAAAGCTGAGTAAACTCTGCCAGCAATAGTGCCAAGCTTTCCTGTCGCTGTTAAAAACCTGATTTCATTCCACACATAATAAAAAGTGGCTTTCCTCTAAACTGAAAATGTTTCTGTAAAGATTGAAGGGGATGTTTTATTATTTTTTAAGTGAGTTCTGAACCTGCCAACTGAAATTAGATTTTTTTTCATGCACCTTTTTTTTTCTTTAGTTTGTAGACCTCAGTAGACGAAGTTATGCCCCTTTTCCACTAGTGCCATTTAGTGGAGTGTCGGTACAGTCGGTGTTGGAACTGGTCAGTTCGGGTGCTTTTCCATTGACGTTCCAGTCTGGTTCCAGTGGGTGTGTTTGGGCGATTGGTGGAGGCAGTTTTGGGGTGTTTTGAAAAAAGTTATTGCGCAAAATAAGAGATTGAAACAAATTTGACGATTTCACTGTTACAATTGAAAAAATGGTGCCTTGAGTTGTTCTTGTAAAGGCAGTTTAGATGCAGCCAGTCACTCCACCAGTGCAGTGTTCTGTCGTCCCATTTTGGTGTCGATTGGGGCCGCTTGGAACCACAACGAAGTAGGTACTAAAAAAAGGGCTGGTTCCATGAATCTGACCTAATGGAAATGACTTTGAACCGTACCGAACCTTACCGACACTACACTAAGTGGCACTAGTGGATAGTGTTGGTGCACAGTGTGGTTACCACTGGTTATGTGTACCACTGTGGCATTTAACTTTCACTTTCCCAAGCTCTCTCTCTCATTTTTTAAAAAGTATTATTTCTCGTCTGTGCGTTCCCTGAAGGAAAGTTCAAATTTACAATAAAATGATGTGATATTTAGAGAAGAAGGAAAAAAAATAGTTGACACCCTGTTGTTTTGGCTTCTAAAAGGAAGAGAACAGAACAAATCCATTAGAAACAGTCTGAAAGCATGAAATGTTCTGGGATGGTAGAGGCTGGTTTAAATGGCACCCAAACTGCAGCAGGTTTGTAACAGTAGCTCGACTGCCAGGACATCAGCAGATAATGGATTCCTGTCTGCTTTTATGGGGCTCAGTCTTGAGTCATCTAACAGAAGTAATTTGAAGGCACAACTGAGCCGCGAGCGTAAAATCCTAATCCCACAGGAGGCGTTTGTCAAGGGAGATTTTTGCGTTTTAAAACCGATAGGATTGCAGTGATGTGTTTTAATAAATCCAACAGATGAATTACTTGTGTTGTAAATATCTGCAACGTTAACAGACTCATTGGGAAATAATTTAAAATTCCTACAAGAGATCTTCAGCACAGACGTGTGTTTTCCTCGGTGTGATTTATCATGCATAATTTATCTGTTTGTGGTATTAAAAGGTGTTGAGAGTCGTTCCAAACCTGAAATGACTCTGGATTTTACTTTGCAGTACAAGGAACAGGGAATGTATCATCCTTCTGGTTTGTTTTGAGAAGCGGGTTTATTTTTATGAATTGTTTAAATATTCAGGTGAACAGTGTTCTGTCATGTTTCTTCCTCCACACGCTGCGAGTTGGTGGCGTTATCAGTTTACATAAGCAGTAGTGGCTTACCTTTAGTGGCTTAACTTTGCAAAGTCCTGTCACTTGTTTTGTTTAGGTTCATCTTTTCTCTCCCCAAGTTGTGTTAGAGTCTGTGAACTAAATATGTTGGCTGGAGAGGGCAGCTGTTAAACAAGATTCCTCCAAGTGATTTTGAGTTGAGGAGAATTTCACCTGCTTATGTTTACGACTGCTGAAACTCCTTTAATGTCACTTAAATAAATAAATGGGCATGTGCATGTATATGTCTACTCTTTATTTTTTTAAGGGAGAAGGAAAATTGTAAGTGCCATTTATTCAATTCAGTTCAGTTCAAAAATACTTTATTGATCCCAGAGGGAAATTAGGTACGTATGTACAGGTGAAACCAGATGTTTGCACTATAAAAAGACATCTTTTATTTTTTTTTTTATCATTGTTTGACATTAAATCAGACTAAACCAGGCATGGGCAGCCCTGGCCTTGGAGGGCCGCAGCCCTGCATGTTTTACTTGTTTCTCTGCTCCAACACCTGATATGAATGAATAGATGATTATCAGGCTTCTGCAGTATGGAGGACCAAAAATGACAATTAGAAATAAAAGCAGAATTATATGAACCACTAAATAAATACACTTTCATATTTATTTTTCCAGGTTAGTTCCAAGAAATTAGTCATTATA